TTCTCTGTGTCTGACCCATATTAAATGTTCTTTAAATGTTTATCATGTGAATAACTGAACAAATGCAAGCATACTGGTAAGCAATTTTTGAGAAGGGTCTGTGTATCAGTCTTTGTTTCCATTGCTAGAAAATGATGGAACTTCCAATCTCTCATCATCAAAGTATTTCACAAAGCTGTACAAACAAAATGTGTTAGCATCTCTCAGCTTCTCAATTATGTTATAATCAGCAACAATTAGATCTTTTCACAACAGGTCTTCCTTCAATCAATATATTCTCTTTTCTAAATCGTTCCCTGTCTTGTTTGTTCAGGCTATTGTAACAAAAATATACCATAAATTGGGTAACTTATAAACAAGTGAGATTTACTTCTCACAGTTCTAGAAGCCAAAAGTCCAAATTCAAGGCACTGACAAAACTATATCTAGTGAGAGCCTGTTCCTCATGGATGGTACCTTCCTTTAAATGGCAGAAGGAGCAAACAAGGTCCATTGGGCCTCTTTGATAAGGTCATTAATACCATTCATGGCAACTATGCCCTGATGACCTTCTCACCACCATTTAACACTATTACATTGATGATATAAATTTCTGAATATACAGCCTGGTTATTGTTAGCTTTGCTTCTGAAAAAAATAGTATTAGTATAGCCTCCAATCTTTTCCTACTACCTACTAGTCTTACTTCTCTATTTCTATAGCAATGTTTCTTAACTATAACAATGCATTATAAGTTCCTCAAAAGTTTGTAAGAACCTGGATAAGCACTGTGAATGCTTCACCTTATGTAATAACCATTCCTATTCTGAGGCAAATCTTTGTACCAATAACTCTTCCCCATGTACCTGGTTTCTAAATCCTTGATATACTGGATGCCAGTATTTGGTAGTATCACAGTTTCTCAATAGCATTGTTAAAGTGTATCTATCCAAGTGGATAAACTACATCATGCTTTAATTAGCTAGCACACATAAAAGGGAACCATTGCATCCCTTCACCTGAGTATCTGTATCATGGACTATGATGAAATTTTAGCACTTAACATTACCACAACAGCTCTTACTAAGTCTTTACTCATGTAAACTGCTACCAGGCTAGGGCCTCACCAATCTTGTAATACTTACTGTTCCAGCATCAGGTCTTTCTTGCTTGAAGCATGTCATTTTTTTCTACATCTAAGTCTCCAAGTAAATGTTCAACAGAATGGGTCCACAGAAAGTATCACTTATGCTTTTTCAAATTCCTCAGTAAACTATTGTATGTTCTTATTTTGCTACTTCTTTAAGACCAATTTCACCCTCATGGATTTCCCCTGATTCCTATGATACACATAAGACCACTTAGATTGTTTACCAAAACTGTAAGACTTTTAGAGTTAGAAGGGACTTTCCAGGATCATCTAGTCTTGCCTAACTCTATTTACAAAGAACAGGAAATCAGAAAAATTTAGTTACATACCCTAGGCTAGTCAGTAGTTTATCTGGGGACAGAACTAAGGAATTCTAAATACAAGTATGTGATACTCTTTCCATTACAGGCTTTCTTGTATTTTTACTTATTCTCTAAATGAAATAAACTATTGTTTATTATTATTTGTTTTATCTAAAACAATGTTCAATTTTTGTTTTAACGAGTATTCTGGTTACCACCCAAAGAGAGCACATATCCTGTTTCCTTTACTTATTTAAGTCCATTCAGGGAATAGGTGAATGGATAACCTATCTCTACTCTGAAAAGGTGGCAAAATAAGCAGAAATTTTAAGGTGCCACAGGGATTGAGGAAAGGAATATTTTGGCTACAAATATTAGATCCTGGCCCTGGGACTATAAATACATTTAAGAGTAACAATTAACTTCCTAAGACTCAGACAAGAGAATAATTTTATCATTTTATTAATGAGATGATAAATACTAAATCACTGTATCACAATAATTTTTATACCATTTCTGATTGGTTTATGGTCAACATTACTTACGACCACACCTACATATAGAATCCATTGTATTGGTAATAAATAACAACTATCATCTACCTCCCTATCAGAAAATAAGCTGTGTAAGAGTTAATGTTAGTATTTCACTCTGTGATTTTTGCCTGCTTTGGGTAGACATGCATAAATGTTTTCATAAATAAGTCCTCTGAAAAGAAAACTAGTCCCAAACCTGGAAATGTACAGATCTAAAAAAATGTAATAATTCTCCAAAAAGTAAACAGAAGTTATGAGACATTCCACAAAAATACCTCATGTCCTAGCCACCAAAGCTAACCAAAGAAATAAATGAATGCTCATATTAAAATCATAACATTCTTTTTCAACAAAGTGCTTACTCCTCTTCGTTTTGCCCTTTTCCCCAGAATCTCTCGTCAGGTTACCCTTTGTTTCCTTAGATTCCTTGTGCATAAGAGACTTCTACAACAACTCCTCTGTTCATTTTTTAGAAATACCAAGCAAATAGTCAAGGAGATCAAATAAGTTCACTCCTTAGGATCATAAAAAGATTATCAGCAGACATACAGACTAGACTTTTAAAGTTAGTACTAGTATTTTACTAATGCTTTTACTAAATGTTACTTTACACAGTTTCTACAAAATCTAGAAGTAGCAAAACACTATCATGTTAATTAATTCAAAGGTTGAGGATACAGGAATTTGTTCACTCAATCGCTTTTTCTAATGTTTTTAGTATGTTTACAATTGATTTATTTCACTTCAAATGTCTGTGGCTAAGTTGAAAATTACTGAATTAGAATTAACTGTATCAAATCCAAAACACTGGATGTCCTTTTCCTATTTGTTAAATTTTCAGACCAAAACATTTTAAAATTATTTTATTTAGCAAGTCAAAACTAATTCTTGATATATTACCATCATTTAGCTTACATTACATAAACAACACTAAGTACTAACTTATATAAACCCAAGTTCTTTCCATAGTCTCCCTTAAATTCACAAAACTGAAAAATCTAAATCAAAAACAACAAAACTACAGATTAAAAAAAAAAAAGAATAACTTACTGAAAAAATCTTTAAAGGCGTTTAACCAATCCATCTGAATAAAAATCCTGTGTTCTCTTTTGTAAGTTTGTTAACACAGCTCAGGATAATTCTCAGTCAGCTTCCTGGTCTGTTCTGCAACACTGAAACTTCCCACACCCAATCCATGTGACCTGGCTGACACCCAAGCAATAGAAAGTTTTTCTGAGGCTTCTCTCTTTCCAAAACCCTCCCCCAACCCCAAAGTAGAAAAGAAGCTATAAAGCAAGTAAATCATCATGGCCAAAAATGTGAGCTTATTATTTACAATTATTTTGGAAGAAGAAACATTATAACACATATATACTTTTTAATAATTAAAAATATATTCACACGTTCATCCTTTTGTTTCCTCCTTTTCCTTAACTCCCAAACATTTTAACTAACTAGTTAGACTAGTATCTATACTAGTATAATCACTGTGAAACAAATTAATTATGTGGGACACTTAAGTTACCAAAAAGGGGTGCAGGGCTGAGGGTTAGCTAAGTGGTAGGGCACTTGTCTAGCATGCATGAGGTCATGGGGTTTGATCATCCCTAGTACCCACCCCACCAAAAAAAAAAAGCCAAAAGGGGTGCAGAAACTCTTGAGAAAAAGGAGAAGGCAGACAGATGCAAAACAAGATTCATATCCTTATATACAGGCTAACTACAGATCACTAATGTAAAGCCATGTTTCTGAACACCTTGGAATACAGGTAGCAATAACTATAATATTATAATAAAGTTAACAACAATTTCTTAAAATAGAGATAAGTCTTTGGTTCAGAGACTGACATTATAAATACTTAACGGAATTCTTACTTTCAATTGTACTGTATTTTAGCTTTTGCTGTACAATAGTTAAAAACATTAAACATTTGTCTTATATTGCTGATAGTTAAAAGACCTAGAATAACAATACTGTTGAATAAAAAATAAAAACTAATATAAAGCAGTGAGTCAAAATAATTTTACATATTTGGGGACTGGGGTTGTGGCTCAGAGATAGAGCACTCGCCTACCATGCGTGAGGCACTGGGTTCAATCCTCAGTACCACATAAAAATAAAATAAAGATACTGTGTCCATCTAACTAAAAATAAATATTTAAAAATAATAATACTGCATATTTGTCAATCATGCTACAATGATCCCAAACTATTTTTTACAAGGAGGAATTTTTCTTTTCTTCTAGAACAGTTAAGCAACAGCATGTCTGCCTAAATAACAAAATTAATTTCTATCCCTCCCAATTCCTTCCTGTCAGCTAAGAAGAATTTAATTAAGAACATAAAAAAAAAAAAAAAAAAAAAAGCCAGTCTTCAACCGTACATATTTCCTTCCTATCAGCTTAGCCAAGTCCAGCGTGAAGTAGCTACTGCTGCCTCTGAGCCTCACGTAAAGCCAGTAAAATCAACAAACTTAGAGGAAGAATAGAGGGGGTAAAAAGGAAATCAAAATAGGAAGGATATCAGCCTTTAGATGCTAATGTACAGTAATGATCCACAAATGTTTTAAAATAAAATGGTTTGTCTTTTAAAGTGAAATTCAAAATGTCAAGTCATTAGATATTAAAATTTAGTAAAGTGCCATTTAAAATAAATTGCCTTGATTTCCAAGAAGGCTATACTGTGTTGTACTTACTTTTCCCTGCCTCAATTAGAGGCAGAATTTGCCTCTAAGTCTAAACTCCAACAGGATACTCTGAATCAAGGAGCTATAAGGTCAGAGTTAATTCTGCTCTTTAGTACCACTTGACCTTTGAACTTGGACCTGGATTTATAGAAACTACTAACTCTTATGACTGTCACAAGTCTCCTAACACCTGCTATAAAACCAAACTTACCTAATGATTAACTGAAATTCCAGTCCTGGCCTTTTCAAGTCAATTTTTCCTACTGGTGTCAATTTTGTACAGTGAACCAAGTTCCAGAATCCATTTAAAAAGAATTTGTTTTTCTTTCAATACAAAAGCAACTTACCTAAAGTATCCTTCAGGTTTTTTACAATAGATGCTTTCCGAGCACTGTTTTTTCTTTCCACATAATTAGAAGGCACAAAACCTGTTTTATTCATGGAATTTCGAACTCTCCACCAGGATTTAGAATCATCCAGAAGCCATAATCTCTCATTCTTCTTGATGTCCAACTCTTGTTCTTGCTGAGCCACATAATCAAATTTGGCTACTACTACTACTTCTTCTGCCATCTTTTAGCAGCTTTAGCACTGTAAACAGAAAATATTTTTATATGAAATTCAAATAGTGGTAGTCTACATGCTTTTTCAAAAAAGACATCAAGATTACTGAAATCAAGGATATTGAAAGGCTCAAAGTAAAACTACAGAAAAAATACAACAGGTAAATAATAATTTTAAAAAACTTGTGTTATTATATTAACAGTGATATTAAATTAAGGCAAAAACCATTACTAGCAATGAAGTTCACCAAATGACAAAAAGTTCTATTCATATAAATAAGATCAAAACTTTTATATACCAAATAGCAGAAACCTGGGCAGTGTTTTTCTTTCCACATAGTTTGAAGGCATAAAACCAAAATAAATACACTGAAAGAACCATAAGGAGAAACTGACAAATCTATAATTACAGAGGGTAATTTTTAACATTTACCTCAGTAATGAAACAATCTAAGAGACAAAAACATTAAGGAACTGATATCACAATAGTAAGTTTGATCTAATAGACATATACTTCTAAACAGAAGAACAGATATGGAACATACCACAAAAATAGATCAAATGCCAGGCCATAAAGCATGTTTCACCAGGCACAGTGGCACACGCCTATAATCCCAGCAGCTCGGGAGGCTGAGGCAGCAGAATTGCGAGTTCAAAACTAGCCTCAGCAAATGAGAGATACTAAGCAACTCAATGAGACCCTGACTCTAAATAAAATACAAAATAGGGCTGGGGATGTGGCTCATTGGTCGGGTGCCCCTGAATTCAATCCCTGGTACCTCAAAAAAAAAAAAAAAAAAAAAAGTCTCAAAAACTCTCATGTAAAAGTATCCCCTTCATCCATATTCTCCGGCAACCATAAAAAAACAAACAAAAGACAGCTTTTTAAGAAACATGTTTGGAAACGTCTAAAAACACATGAATTTAAGAGGGAATCATATAGAGTTTGGAAAGTACTTAGAAAGTAAATGATAATGAAGACTATAGTCCTACTTTGTTGATGCAGCAAAAGGACTATGTAGAGGGAGATTTTAAAATAGTAAAAGAAGAAGAGCTAAACATAGAGCTGAGGAATGTAGAGTGTAGTTCAATGGTAAGAGCCTACATTTAGTATGCTTGAGGCCTTAGGTTCAATCCTCACCACCAAAAAAGAAAGAAGGAGCTAAAAATTTAAATTAATGAACTGAGCACTTATCCTAAGCAGTTGGAAAAATAAGGTCTAAAGAAAAATAGGAAGGAAATAATACGAATAAGAGCAGAATTGCAGAATTTAATGAAACAGACAATAAAGATACACTAGAAAGTCCCAATAAATTGAAAATGTAGTTCTTTATCAAAACTAAAATTTGAAAACATTTCTGAGGCAAAACTGATCAATTAAAAAAAGTACACCCAAATACCAGGAATAAAAAAGGAATCACACTTATAGATGCTGAAAACATTCAAAAGATCCAGCACTACTATAAGCAATTCAAATCTGAAATCAAGTGAAACACAAATTTATAGAAAAATAAAAAGAATACTACTAAATCAGTCATTAAGCAATCTTCCCACAATGCAAATGCTAGGTGATTTTATAGGCAAGTTCTAGGAACAAATCTTTCCAATTTATATAAACTATTTAAGAACAAAGAAAAATAATTACAAGCCAATTTCACTCTCCTGAAACCAGATCAGATCTTTGCTTTCTTCAGAGATTTATTTGCGGGGGCGGGGGTGGGGGGGTGGGGAGCGGTAGTGCTTAGATTGAACCTAGGGTCTACACATGCTAGGCAAACAATCTACCACCAACCTGCATCCCCAGCCTGAGAGATCTTACATAAACAGCTACCAGTTGCCTAGCAAGCAAATAAATTCAGCTTTTTATTTGGATATTGACCAGTAATCTCTTTTCAACAACCTTTGAAGCAAGTTTCTTTTTTTTTAATATCCTTAGAAAAATGCATTTTAATCCAGAATTAAAATGGCAAGCAAAGTCTCAAAATGAGTCACACATTGTTTACTCTTAAGCATGTAAAAAACTAATGCAAAAAAAGAAAAAAAAATGATTTGATATTCAAGAAACAATGATGAGGGCTAGAGTTGTCGCTCAATGGTAGAGTGCTTACCTAGCATATGTGAGGCTGAGTTCGAACCCCAGCACCACATAAAAATTAAAAAAAAAAAAGAAGTATTATCTCTACAACTAAATAAACAAATAAAAAGAAACTATGATGAGCAGAGAAATCAGAAAAAAATTATTTGTATTACTGCAACTTGATTTTGAAGTAATTTCAAACAGAAGATTTTCAACCAAGTAATTTTCAATTACTGGTACACTAAGGAAAGAAGTTACAACAATAAGCAATAGGCTATCTGAGAAAATGAAAAGCTAGAAGCAGGGATTTTTTTTTTTTTTTTTTTTTAAATACCTGGCAGCAACTCTGTGTCCCATCACCACCCATTTAATCCATTGGCTTAATGAAATTCAATTCTAAGTCCCAAAAGAATCTATTTTGAAAACTGACAAACTGATATGAAAATTTATCAAGAAAAGTAAACATGTAAAACTGGCAACAAATGTTCTGGAAAAAATAAGAATTGGAATGCCAACATTACAGATTATGTACCCAGCATTTCACAATGTCTCTTTTCCAAAATACCCTTCTACTAGCACCTCTTCTGTCATTAGCTTAGTCATGCAAGTTGGGAGGTTGATTCTACTTATAAAAGTGACTCTATAGACTAATTCAAGCCCCACCTGAATATTAGAATCACTTCCTGAACTTATCACAGGAGACCTACTGGGAAGTAGAGCCAGAGTTGCTAAAATAAGCACTGAAAGCTGCCCCCTGAACCTCCAGTTACTTGAGCTAATAAATTTCTTTACCAAGATAACTTTAATTGGATTTTCTATTATCCTCAGTAAAGACAGTTACCCAATCAGATATCAAAATGTGCTTTAAAAAGAAAAATGGAAGTCCCAAAAAACCAAAAGCCAAATGTTGTCTTTGATATGAGAATGCAGAAGCATAATGGCAACTGGGTGGGGGAGGGGGGAAGCATGGGAGGATCGGAGGAACTTAGATAGGGCAAAGGGGAGGGAGGGGAAAGGAGGGGACAAAGGGGTAAGAATGATGGTGGAATGAGTTAGACATCATTACCCTAAGTATAAGACACGAACGGCGTAAAAATATTCTGTGTACAAATCAGTGTCTTGAAAAATTGTGCTGTATAATATGAAATGAATTGCATTCTTCCATCATGTATAATAAATCAGAATAAATTTTTTAAAATAAAATATTTTTAAAAATGAAGTAACTTAAAATAAGATGATACTAGTACAGAAACAGACCAACAGAATATTCATTGAGGTCTACAAAATACACACACAGGTGGCTTTAGAAGCCCTCTTCTCTAATATACAAGTTTTGAGTTCTTATTTAGGCTTCTTAAAAGTAGAGTACACTTCAAAGCAGGTGATGTATAATCTGAATATAGAAAAAGACATCAGTGTATAATCCCTCCAAATATTTAAATGTCTCTCCTAAACCAAATTCAAAGCAAGTAACTTTTTACAGTGACTTCCTCTGGTAAGTTGTTTCAAATCAATCAATCTAGTTTTCACAAAAACAATTCTCTAATTTTAGCACAATTTTTTTTTTGTTTATATCATACATAAAGTTTTGACAAGAAGCACCTTTGAAGAAACTTTACATTTGAATCCTGGTGAACAGATTCAATTTAATTGGGGAGAATCAAAATATGCCAATGTTATCAAGTTATTATGCTTCACAATAGAAATGGATAGAGTTAATCAGGCAAGTCAGTTAAGAAATTTCTACTCTGTACATGCAAACATGAGAATTTTATATATGATAGGTGGCATTTCACCAAGAAAATTAAGTTATTCACTAACTGATACTAGGACAACTGGTTATCTATTTGGGAAGAACTTTCCTACTTCATAAAACACACATACACACACACACACACACACACACAACAGAGGACTTTCACTTCTGGGAAGTGAAATTGTGACACAGTTGTAAACTCCCTAGGTTATATTTTTACCCGACTTGAGATGAAGGTCAGTAAAATAGACACATAAATTGGCATATACAAAATAATAGCAACCTGTGCACTCCAAATAATGGGCCAAAAAAGAGATCCTGGCAAGACAGAAATCTTTTAGACAATAATTACTCTGACTCCAGACAAACAAAACAGAGAAAATGTGGCCCCACCCACACCAGCAAAGTCCACGTAGGAAACCTAGACTTCCAACTTTTCAGAGGCTGTAATGAAAAAATCCAACCTCCTTTTTGACTACCAGACAAAATCAGCAGATATCAAAGACCTCAATATATTCAACCAAAGGATCTATTTAATGTTTATAGAATCCTCTACCCCAAAATAGCACTTTATCAAGTGTCCACCAAATAAATACCAAGAGAAATCATAGCTTGGGCCATAAAATAAAACCCCACAAAATTTAAATGAATTGAAATCACACAGTGTGTTCTCCAAGCACAATGGAATCAAACTAGAAATAAGTATTACAAAGTGCTACGGGTTGGACCCTACTATCCCCAGGATTCATGGGCTGGCGACTTAGTCCCTAATATGACAGTGTTGGGGTGATGAAACCTTTAAGACGCAGGGCCTTATGGTGGGTGATTAGATCATTAGTGGTACTGCCCTTGAAAGATACTAATGTAATTCTCACTGGAATGTGATTAGCTCAAGCAAAGATGGGTTGTTATAAAAGGAGTGAGACTGGCCCCTGAATCCCTCTGGCTTCATGTCTTGCTATGTGGTCTCTCCCTCTTGCAGATACCTGTTATGGTGTCATTTGCCACAAGGTGACATAGTCAACAGGACCAGAATACAAACTGACAGGACTATCAATCTCGAAATTTTAGCTTCCTAAACGATAAGCTAAACCAATCTTTTTATATAAAAGTACCAAGCCTCAGGTATTTGTTTTAGCAACAACAACAACAAAAAAACAGACTAATATACCAAGATAACTAATACACAAAAATA